GAATACTTTTAAACCTGTACCCTCTTATGTACAATATTAATCTTGGATATGCTCGGCCTGTCTTCATACACTGTGTTTGTGTGTGTGCCTGTGGGTATGGGTGTATGTTCCCATTTCTGCACTGAGGCTAAGCTAGCAAGACTTTGACCAGAGCATTAAACTTCTGTTTCAATGAACCCAAAGTCATATAAACCAGGAAATGTGTATCTAGAGTAGGAAAGATAAATATCTCCACAAATGTACTTTTCTCTCTTTTGTACATGTCACAACAACCCTCATTTCTTTTTTAGTCTCACATCATTTCTGTTCTCTAGACAACAAATAACTAACTGTCCTCAACTATTTTGAACCAGAAATTTATAAAAATGCCTCTCAAATGCTGTTCATCCCAAAGTCACACTCCAAAACTCAAATGAGCATGTACAATCTCCCCTAGATCGTCAGAGCTGGGAAAAATGCATTCCAGATGTGGTATGGATTTTAAGAGAGGATGGCATGAAGCGGCATTGCCTAACAGCAGGAGTGTGAAATGGCTTTTGCTGAGGGAAGAGTTCCACTGACAAATGTAGGAGATGAGTCTGGTCAATGTTTGGACAACAAGTCACTCCTCCAAGTATGTTCACTGAAGGAGCAAACACCCCCCTACATGGGACAGGGTCTCCCAGCTGTTGGAAAGGGGAGAATGGCCATCTCAGATCTCCTTTGGGTGGGCTTGATAGAGAAAGGTAGGAAGGCATGTGGAGGGGAAATAAGACATGCTGAGGAACCCACTAAAGAGCTAATGGGGAAGTAGCCAGGGCTGGCACATCCGCACCCAGGAAGGGACCTCACTTCGCAGCTGGGGAATGAGATGAAAAGACCAGCAAAAAACCGAAGTCAATACAGCAGCGTGCCATGGGCCCATTTTAGCAACAGATTCTCTGTGACCTTGAGTGTCTTCCCACCTGCTCTCCCTATAAGCCCTTTAGATAACTCGATGATTTCCTCGTCTTAGAAAATGCCTATTTGGAGCAAGGAAAAATTAAATCTTCTTCAAAAAGCACAAGAAAAGGGGTCACAGCTATTGAAAGCATTCTTTACTCACCAATTTTGTAACGTCTTTCACATCATCAGTGACACGGTTCGTGCAGATCCCTGTAGTTCTGACGAGAGGATTAAAGAGGAGCAGTTGAAGATAAATGCAAGTGATAATCCAAGTCTAAACAAAAAGAGAAAAACTGCTGGTGACCATCAGTTAACATCTGTAATCACTTATACTATTAACATCTTACCCCTTAATGTGGAAAAATGCAATCTGCTGATTTTTTAAATACTTTCGGCTTAAATACTACAATTAAGCGCTGATCTTTCAAACTATGCTGACTGAAGTTTTCAAAAATTCTCATTTAAATGTGGTTTGGATTTTTCATTTCCATGACATTATTTTTAACTTTTGTCAAAAGCTTTCTACAGCCTATTTCTAGTGGCAATTAGGAATAACTTGTAGCAACACGTAAAGGATTTATCACTAGGTGTTCTCTAAAAACCAGGGAATGCATTAAATTCATACCTTAAGGCACCAAATGAAACTTTCTGTACTTTAAAGGTGGACTGTTTGGCAAGTAGCAGCATAACCCTGAGCCGTGTTTTAATCCAATAGTCCACAATAATACTCCAAGTTTGGATCTAGAGTAAAATTTAACCTAATTTATGAGACAGCAAAAGAAACATAGTTTTGAATAATACCTTTTGAGCTATTTAATAAGGAAGACTATTTCCCTAGTCAATAAGAAGACATTCTTCAACCCTAGCAGGAAGCAATCACACACGCCTCTCTCTTTGAAAATAACACTTCAGACCATACATTGCAGTTACTTTTACACATGACTTATTTTTTCCTTATTACGCTATATTTTAAGTTTCTAAGAAATTGGGCATCTCTGTGTGTGTTTTTTTCAGTACCTTTACAACATAAGACACAGCACCTTGCATGTAAAATATTCTTAATACATATTTTGTTGGATGAATCAATGACCAAGGTAAAAATTGTCTAATGCTTCAAACTGAATACTTATTTATTGAATACGTATTCTGAGACAGGGACTGTATCAGTCACTAGAGAAATAAAGGTGACAGACATGCCCTTGAAACTCAGAGGCTTTGGGAACACAAAGAAGGAAACAATTAATCCATCAAATTTAAGGGGAGAACCTGTACAGGAAGACAGCGCCAAGAAAAGCCAGAGAGAAAAATATAACTCTGGCTGGATTCTGGAGGACCAGGAGGAGTTTGACAAGGAAGGGAGGATAAGTCCAGGAAAAATAAACAACATGAGCAAAGGCATGGAGATGTGAAGATATGATGTCTTAAAATTACACAGAAACCCATCTGCACATGGTTAGAAATCCTTCCGATTTTATGTAGCTAGCCAGGTGTTAAAAGGAACTAGATTTTTATTTTTAATTAACGTCTGCAAGCTAACTAGAAATTACATTACTACACTGGACCAAATGATGATTATCATTACTAAAATTTCTAAGAGTGCAATGCTACCTACATAAATAATAGTGGCTTATAAACAAAATTAAAATGCTTTTATTGTTTTATTATTGTGATCTTTTAGCAGTAATCCTACTTAATTTTGTTTAAGGCTATTTTAAAGCAATATGGAGTCACACTCTTCATAGCACCATCTCCTTTTGGAACAAAATGAAGAGTAAGTTGTATAAGTGATTTCTGTTTGGGGGGACTCTACTACTGGGCAATGCCAACATATAAAGTCTCTTCTAATAACTTAGTCTTTCTTCATATATGTAAGTATAATTGGTGAAACTCAAGCTTTCTTTTACATTATAATTGCTAAGACCTAACCCTTCATATATATATATATATATATATATAAATTTCTCCATGACTCTCATCTATGATATGACTTGGGAAACCCCCCAAAGGGTCTCTGTAAATGGCCAATCTCACTAATAATCATATTCATATTCTAGTCTCTAAGAAATAAAATTCTGTTACTCTGTTTCTTCTCTTCACCATGCCCTATTCCTGGCATTGAAGAAACACTAAAAAACATTTGTTTGTTCACTTATTTATTCGGAAAATATTTACTGAGCACCTAGCGGGTGCCAGACACTGTCCTAGATGCTTGGGACATAATAAAATATGGGGGGAGGGGGCAAAAATCCCTGCCCTCATGAGGCTTATCTTCTGGTGAGAGAAGGCAGACCATAACAAAAAAAAATAAGAAACTAGATTATACAGAATGTCAAATGGTGTTTCTTGCCATGGAAAAATAAAAATTAGATCAAGGTAAAGAAAACTGGGATTAAAATGCCTACTCTGCTCTACTGGCTTCAGCAGTCTTAGGTTCAAGTTGACCATCACACTCACAAGGCATCAGTGGCTTCCCTCAGCACCAAGCTTTAAAAGGATGCAGGACAGGCAACAAGAGCATGCCCAGCACCAGCAGAGCCCAGTCTGAGGACCCTGGCAGGCAGTCTCCAATGTCCGCATAGCACTACACGTGGGCCGTGGATGGCAGTGACAGATGATATCAGGTGGGCAGGGACACTTTGGGGGCTTATACCTTGCTAGTTGAGCAGCCCCATGAGGGGCACGTGATGAATTTCTAGTCATTCTCCATCACAGCTACCTCCCACTGGTACATCTCAACAATGAAGCACATACAGGTGTTTGTTCTACTAGAAATGCCAGCAGGATTCTCCTGAAGCACAGCCATACTCCTAGGCCAGGGATGGGCAAACTTTTTGACTCAAGGGCCAGAATGGGTTCTTAAACTGGACCGGAGGGCCGGAACAAAAGCATGGATGGAGTGTTTGTGTGAACTAATATAAATTCAAAGTAAACATCATTACATAAAAGGGTACGGTCTTTTTTTTTTTTTTTAGTTTTATTCATTTCAAACGGTCCGGATCCGGCCCGCGGGCCGTAGTTTGCCCACGGCTGTCCTAGGCACTGCCTGAGTTCTTGTTGTAAGGAGGATGAGAGAGAGGGTCAAATCCCCAAGCACTCCTGAGTCTACAGAAAAGGCCCCATTTCTTTCCAGGACTGCAGAAGGTGGGGATACGGCTTGAAATTGTAAGCAGGGTGATACCTGGCGTGCCTCACTGAGAAGGCTCTGTTTTATCACAGCTTGGATGCAGCTGAGGGAGTGGCCCAGGCGGGTGCCTGTGGGAAGAGTGCCACAGAGAGGAAAGTGGTGCGAAGGCCCCAAGGTCTATCAGAGGTGTCTGCTGTGTTTCAGGAGCAGCAACAGTAAACGGGGGCAGAAGATACTGTCAGAGAGAACAGAGAGGCCAGATCCTGTAGCGTCTGGTACCCCACTGTGTCCACTTCTGTCATACCTCCGACCCTCCGGTCATGTGTAAGCCTCTGTGCAAACAAAACTTAACCCTCTCATATATACATCCTGTGCATATTTAGGTGTATGTATATATGTATGTAAATATACCTATGTAAAAAAGACTGTTGGGCAGTTTCTGACAAAACTACACGTTTGTGCCATACGACCCAGCAATCACACGCCTTGGTATCTACCCCAAGATGCTGAACACTTGTGTCCACACAAAAACCTGCACGCTGATTTTGTAGCAGCTTATTCATAGTTGCTAAAACTTGAAAGCAACCATGATGCCCTTCAGTAGGTGAATGGCTCAATAAACCATTTAGGTGGAGTACATCCAGACAAGGCATTACTATTCAGTGATAAAATAAGAAGAGCTATCAAGACATGAAAGACATGAAGTAACCTTACACATATATTACTCAGTGAAATATGCCACATACTTGTGATTCCAACGACAATGACTTTATGGAAAAGGCAGAATTATGGAAACAATAAAAAGATCAGAGGTTGCCAGGGTGTGGAGGGGAGAGTGATGAATGGGCAGAACACAGAGAACTTTAGGGTAGTAAAAATGCTCTGTAATAGTAGATACATGTCATTACACATTTGTCAAAATCACAGAATGTTCACCAAGAGTGAACATTAACATAAACTAACTTTGGGTGACTAAGATGGGCCAATATAGGCTCATCTATGGTAACAAATGTATCACTTGGTGGGGGACTATTGATTAAAGGGGAACCTATGCATGTGTGGGGACAGGGGGCATATAGAAAATGTCTCTACCTTCCTCCCAATTTTGCTGTGAACCTAAAACTACTCTAAAAAAATAAAGTCTTAAAAAAAAGATTACTTTGATTACTGTGGTGAGAGCCTTTAGGTCAGCGGTTCTCAACCTTTGGGTCTCGACCCTTTTGGCGGTCAAACGACCCTTTCACAGGGGTCGCCTAAGACCATCCTGCATATCAGATATTTACATTACGATTCATAACAGTAGCAACATGACAGTTATGAAGTAGCAATGAAAATAATTTTATGGTTGGGTCACAACAAGAGGAACTGTATTTAAAGGGCCAGAAGGTTGACAACCACTGCTTTAAGTTAACAAAGTAGAAACAAGTTAGGGGTTATTGCTCTAATCCAGCAATTTTCAACCCTTTTCATCTCATGGCACACATAACTAATTACTAAAATTCTGCAGCACACCAGAAAAAAATCTATATATTTTTGCCAATCTGACAAAAATTAGGTATAGTTTTGATTTGTTCACATCAGACAGCTATTGTTGTGTTTGTTGGGTTTTTGTTTTGTTTTGGTTTGTTTTTTGTTTTTTGTTTTTTTTTTTACAATTTAAGGAAAAAGAGGTCAGTACTCCTGATTAAATAGTCAGGTATTACATGCTTTAAAAATTCTTGAGGTGTACCGTTAAAAATCACCGCTCTCATCCAAGCAAGAAAGGATTGCTCATTGACCAGAAGTGGTTAGATTCTGGATGTCTCATCAAGGCTGAGCCAATAGGATTTCCCGACAGATGGAATATGATTTGACAGAGTCAAAGATGACTCCAATGATTGTGGCCTGAACAACTGAAAAGGTGGTGTTTCCATCAGCTGATATGGAAAGGCTGCGGATAGAGGTTTGGAGGGCAGATCAGAAGCTGAGTTTTGGATGTGCTAAGTTTGAAATGTCTTTGAGATATCCTACTGATGTTACTTGTGGGGAGCTGGCACGGCCATGGCACACTCAGCCCCAGGGCACCTTATGTGCCATGCCAGCTCAGCCTGGTTCAGTGACCCTGAGTGGGGGTGGTGAAAGGCTTAGATAAGACAGACATGAGAACAAAA